AAAGAGCTATATGCAAATGGTCATCACACCCTCACGCCATAACGGCTCAGACACTCAACACTGTGGAGAGAAGAATGGGGACCAGCCAGGCACAAATGAGCTCGCAAGAGAAGAATGGGGACCAGCCAGGCTGCGGCCTGGGAGAGGGACAAGCTGCCCGCCCCGTGGTCCCGGGCAGCTGCTGCCCAGGTGAAGCCGCCTGCCCACGGTCCCCTGCAGCTGTGGCTGGCCCTGGTGAAGCCAGCTCAGGTCCTGGGTGCCTGTGACCAGCTGGAGGAGAGAATCCTGGGTGCGGGGCAAGGCAGAGGCAATTAGGGGCAATCAGGCAGGCAGGCAGAGGGGTTAGGGGCGATCAGGCAGGCAGGCAGGTGAATGGTTAGAAGCCAGAGGTCCCAGATTGTGAGAGGCAGTCAGACATCCCCTGAGGGGTCCCAGATTGGAGAGGGTGCAGGCCAGGCTGAGGGACCCGCCCCCCCCCCCACACGAATTTCATGCACCAGGCCTCGTGTGTGTGTGTGTGTGTGTGTGTGTGTGTGTGTGTATAAATTGATTTGAGAGAGTGGAAGGGGGAGAGAGAAAGAAACATCAATGTGAAACATTGATCGGTTGCCTCACGCACACACTCTGGCCGTGGATCAAACCCTGGGCACACACCCTGACCCAGAATCCAACCCTCCACGTTTTGATGCACAGGTTGACACTCCAACCACCCGAGCCACCCTGGTCAGGGTGCATTTATATTTTTGAGTTAGTGCTTTTACTTGGTTCAGATAAATACCCAGAGGTTGAATTGATGGATCATATGGTAGTTCTATTTTTAATTTTTTGAGAAACCATATTTCTGTTCCATAATGGCTGTACTAACGTATACTCCCACTAATGGTGGACAAGGGTTCCTGTTTGCCACATCTCACCAACCTTGTTACCTCTGGTCTTTTGGATGGTAGCCACCCCAACAAGGGTGAGGTGGCATCTCGTGTTTTGATTTGCATTTCCTGATATTTAGTGGTATTGAGCATCTTCTCATGTACCTATTGTCTATCTGTAGATCATCTTTGGAAAAATATCTCTTCAGATCCGCTGCCATTTTTAAATGTCATTGTTTGTTTTTTTACTATTGAGTTGTGTAAGTTCTTTATATATTTTGGATATTAACCCCTCATTGGATATGACTTGCAAATATTTTCTCCATCTTTTTCTCAAAAATGGGGATAATGACACCACTTCCTTTGAGTGGGCAAACTCCTCAGGCTCATCAGTGGGTTCACTTCGTGTGTTCGTGTGGGTGCTGGTGGGCGCCGGCCCAGGCTCCGCCGCTGCTGCTCTTTGCTCCCACAGACTGCCCATGCCCTCCCCTGCCGGGCACAGTGCCGACTGCCCATGCCCTCCCCTGCCCGGCACAGCGCCGACTGCCCATGCCCTCCCCTGCCGGGCACGGCGCCGTGCGCTGCAGTTACTTATAAAATATATGTGACTGGATTGTGACAAGTGCTGTGGAGATATAAGGTCAGGAAGGGGCCTGGGTTGTGTGGGTGGTGTGGAGTGAGGTGTAACTAGAGCAGCCCAAGATTCCCAGGAAGGCGGCCTGTGAGGACAGACTGCGGAGGTAAGGGAGCAAGTCCTGCCAGGCCCTGCATAACACCCTTTTTGGCAACAGCAGGTGGCGAGCCTGGCTGTTCAGAAACGGCGAAGAGCAGGAGGGAGCAGCAAGAGGCCAGAGGAGCAGCAGTGAGAGGAGCGAGGAGGAGGGCTGAAGGGGTTGGTGAGAGGGGCCTTTGCAGGATTAGGAGCAGATGGTGTGAGCTGGTTTGGGTCCTAACTGATTTAGTCTCCTATCTAAAACAACCCAGAAAAAGACAAAATGTAAGCAACATGTTTTTCAAAATACTGGACATTGGCAGGACGGACTGTGACTCCCCTGCGCATGCTCCAGCTCACTGCCCCAGGGTGCTTCTGGGCTGTGACGCAGGAAGAGGGACCCCAGGGTGGGGAAGGGCACGGGACTGCACGAGTCAAGGAGACACGGCTTAGAGACCAATGCATCTGGGATTTTCAGGATCGAGTACGAAGGAGCAAAGAGCTGCTCGGGAGAAAAACTCCTGGAGAACTCATCACATGCATGTCGGGGATTTCCGATTTTATTAATCTCAAAGAGCAGCTTTTTGTTTTAGTGACTTTGTTGTCTGTGTCTTTGTCTTCGTTTTTCTGCTTAACAAACTTTTTAATAAAAGGGCTAGATAGAAATATTTTAGGTTTTAAGTTCATGTGGTCTGTGCCACAACTATCCGCCCTGCTGTTGTAAAATTGTTACAACTCCAGCAAGACTGATAGGGGAAAAGAGAGAAGACCCACATTACCGATATCAGAAATAAGAGGGTTGACATCACTAGAGTCTTCAAGTAGTAAAAATATAATAAGGGAATATTATGAACAACTTTACACCAATAAATTCAACAATTTAGATGAAACAAATTCCTTGAAAGATACAAAGTGCCAATGCTCACTCAAGAAGAAATAGATGCATATGTTACATTAAACTTGTTATTAAAACACCTTCCCCAAAAGAAAAGTCCAGGTCTAGGTGACTTCACTGGTGAATTCTACCAACATTAACAAATAAGTAATAGTAACAAATAAGTAACACAGACTCTTCCAAAAATATTGAAAAGGAAGGATACTCACCAGCTTATTCTGTGAGGCCAGCATTATCCTGATAACAAAGCTGACAAAGACTTTATAAGAAAAGAAAATGTCATACCAATATCCATTATGAATATAAATGAAAAATTCTCAACAAAATGTTAGCAAATTGAATTCAACAATATATAAAAAGGATAATACATCATGACCAATTGGGATTCCAGGAATGCAAGGTTGGTTTAAGATTTGAAAATTCATCAATGTAATTTATCATATTAAAAAACTAAAATAAAATCATGTGATGTCTCAATAGACACATAAAAAGCATTTAACAAAATCCAACATCCATTTCTGATTTAAAAAAAACAACCTCTCAGCAAGCTGGAAATAGAAGAGAACGTCCTCAGCCTGAGAAAGGATATCGACAAAAAACCTACAGCAGATACACTTAATGGAATGCTTTTTGCCAGAAGATGAACAAGACACGGACGTCTACTCTCACCACTTCTACTTAACATTGTGTAACTGAGGCTATAGTAAGTGCAATGAATGGCAAGCGAAAGGAATAAAGGCACCCAGATTGGAAGGTAAGAACGAAAGCTGTCTGCATTTGCAGATGGTACAATCGCCTCTCTAGGTGCTCTGCCAAGTCAACAGAGAAAGGATGGTCTATTCAACAAATGGTGCCAGGACAGCTGGACAACCAGGTACAAAAGGATGAACTCATACCTTGCACCATATACAAAAACTAACTCATAGACCTAGAGGTAAGCCCTAAAACTATGAAACTTTTACAAGAAAACTTTTATGACCTTGGCTTAAGGAAATATTTCTTAGGTACAAAACCAGAAGCACACTCTATTAAAGAAAAAGGTCATTAAATTGGGCTTGATCAAAATTAAAAACTTCTCTTCTTAAAAATCCACTGTGAATAGAATGAAAAGAAAAGGCACAGATGGGAGAAATATCTCAAAGCATGTATCTGATAAATGACTTGTACCCAGCATATGTGAAGAACTCAACTCTCAATAATAATGAACAACATATTTTAAAAAATGGACAAAAGAAATTTCACCAAAGAAGATACATGGATGGCAACTAAGTACATAACAAGATGTCCAACAGCTTTAGTCATTTAGGAAATGCAAACTCAAACACATGGTGTACAGCTGCACACCCTTTAGAATGGCTGGAAGTCCAAAGGCCGACCAGACCAGGTGTTGGCGAGAAAGTGGAGGACTGGGAACTCTGCGCTTCTGGGGGGATGTACTAGTAAAGGGTGCAGTCACTTTGCAAAACAGTTTGTGACAATTTCTTAAGAAGTCAAACATATGTATATAACATATATACATACATAAACATACACACATGAAAACACATTAACGAGTTAAATACACGGGCTTAGAGCACCATGAGAGCGAGACCATGGGCAGGGGCACAGCTGGGCATGAGAACAGCTGTCAACAGCTGGGCAGGGCAGGTCCAAGTTTTGTAGGTGACGTTCATATAAAGCCTGTATGACTTGGGTGGCCCTCTTTGGGAAAAAGCATTGAAAAATGAGACATTCCAATTTGGTATAAACTTGAATATTCATTTAGGACGAACAAGTACCCACACAAATTCTTGGAGCCTGGACCTCCAGGCCCCTTTCTTCTGAGTCATCTTGAGACTCTTCAGAGAAGCCCCTGGTGGCAACCATCTGCCCCTCCCCACCTAGAACCCTCAGCCATCTCAGCCCTCAAGGCCACGTGGTGTGGGGTCCTACTGGTGTCGAGCCGCTGTCCCCGCCTGCAGCTGGCAGAGCTGTGGGTGTCCCCTGTGCCGGAGGTCCAGGCTGCCTCCGGCCTTCAGGCTCTGCGTCTCTGCCTGAAGCTGTCTTCCTCGCCACCCCTGCAGCGCTGCTGCTCAGTAGCTGTGGGAACCCAAGGAGCAGGGCTATGAGTGTAGTGAGGGCTCCAGAAGGCACCATGGGGCCCTGGCTGTCTTGTCTCCTTGCTCAACACCCTCCTCAGCTTTAGGCCCCACTGGCCTCTCCTGCTTCCCACCTGGCCTCAGGCCTTGCTCCCAGCGCCCTTCTCCCTGCTCCAGCTTCCCCGCAGTCTTGTGGCATTGCTGTGACCACTACACCGGACCCCAACAGGTCCAGGAGCTGGGTCCAGGCTGAGGACTTGGAATCCCTGACTCTGCTATGCACTGGCGGTGTGAGTTCAGGCATGTTCCTCAATCCCATGTGCTTCAGTGTCCTCATCTGTAAAATGCAGGTGGGAAAAGTCTTCCTTCGGAGGCGCTATGAAGCTTAAAGGATCTAGGAGGGCAGGTGTGTCTGTCGCTTTGTTCATTTGAGTGTCTGCAGCTCCTAGAAGAGTCCCAGGCAGGTGCTAGGTGCTCAATGAGCACTTGCTTCTGTCTGGTCTCCACCCTGGGGCTGCGGCCTCCAGCGAGGACGGAGTGTCCCAGTTCTCCCAACGGCCATCCCATTCCCTTGGGAGCACAGGTCTGCAGGCCTCGCCCCACCGCCCACGGTCCTGGTTAGGGTCTGAGGCTCTGGGACCAGGGGCAAGTATATAGGCAAGTTACATATTATGTGATGTTGGGGGCGGGGGGGAGAAAAGGGGGCTGCAAAAAAACAAGATCATTCTTGAAAATCCCTTAAGTTGCCTATGAAGTTCAGTATAAATGGTTTATATACATCCCAAATACTAGTTCATTTACATATGGAAGAGAAATTCATGAACACATGAGACCCACTGGAGTTACTATAGGGAAAACCTCAGATTACCAATAGCTGTCTGAGTTTTTCCTCCTTCTGCCTTTATTTTATTTTTTTTACTTTAAAAAGTATTTATTGTTGAAAGTATTACAGATGTTTCCTTTTTCCACCCCTCTCCCCCTCCCCCTTCCCACCATGCCTTCACCACACTATTGTCTGTGTCCATGGGTTATGCATATATGAATACAAGTTCTTTGGTTGATCACTTCCCTCCCACCCACCCTGCCCCACCTTCCCTCTGAGATTCATCAGTCTGTTCCATGCTTCTATGTCTCTGGATCTGTTTTGTTCATCAGTTTATTTTGTTCATTAGATTCTACATATGAGTGAGATCATGGGATACTTGTCTGTCTCTGACTAGCTTATTTCGCTTAGCATGATACTCTCCAGGTCCCTCCATGCTGTCTCAAAGGCTAAGAGACCCTTCTTTTTTTATTGCTGCATCGTATTCCATGGTGTAAATTACCACAGCTTTTTATCCACTCATCTACTGATGGGCACTTGGGCTGTTTCCAGATCTTAGCTATTGTAAATTGTGCTGCTATGAACATAGAGGTGCATATATCCCTTCTGATTGGTGTTTCTGGTTTCTTGGGATATAGTCCTAGACGTGGGATCGCAGGGTCAAATGGGAGTTCCATATTTAATTTTTTGAGGAAACTCCATACTATTTTCCACAGTGGCTGCACCAGTCTGCATTCCCACCAGCAGTGCACTAGGGTTCCCTCTTCTCCGCATCCTCACCAGCACTTGTCATTTGTTGATTTGTTGATGGTAGCCATTCTCACAGGTGTGAGGTGATACCTTATTGTCATTTTAATTTGCATCTCTCAGATGATGCTCAATTAATATTTGACAAAGGAGGCAAGAGCATACAATGAAGTAAAGACAGTGTCTTCAATAAATGGTGTTGGGAAAATTGGACAAATACATGCCAAAAAAAAAATGAAACTAGACCACCAACTTACACCATACATGAGAATAAACTCAAAATGGATAAAAGACTTAAATGTAAGCTGTGAAACCATAAAAATCATAGAAGAAACCATACGCAGCAAAATCTCAGGCATCTCTCTTAGCAATATGTTTACCAATACGTCGCCTAAGGCAAAGGAAAGTAGGAGAAACATAAACAAATGGGACTTCATCAAAATAAAAGGCTTCTGCTCAGCGAACGAAACCAACAAAACAAGAAGGGAGCCCCCATCTGCCTTTAGATTAGAGTCCATGTGTGGCTGGGAGCGGGGACAGAGCAGAATTTTGGAATTTTACCCTGGGCCCTACCTTCTCCAAGCGGGCCTCCAATCTGTAGGCTTTTTAAAATAGTGCTCCAGGGTGGTTTTAATGATCCTGATTAGATACAGGAAATTAACAAGACTAAAGGAGAAACCCCCGAAAGCGTCCGAGGCAGATGCAGGAGGCTTGAAAGGATGGGCTGCAAAAGTAGAACCCAGAGCAGGGCTGTGGCTGCCGTTTCAGAGAGATGCCCTTCCCAGCCCAGGAGTAAACGATGACTGGTGTGAGGCTCCGTCTGCACAGGGTCCCTGGAGTAAGCCTGTGTCTCCCTGTCTTGCAGGTGGTGCCGGGGAGCGGGAGAAGGTGCCGGCCAGCCCCGAGGGGCTCCTGCTCATGGCCAGTTCTCAGCGTGACATGGAGGACTGGGTGCAG